CACTCACGGTAATTCGTACTTCTTCTCTATAGCAATTTGACGAAATGTCGTCAACAAAGAACTAATACTCTTTTGACGCACCCGTGGTCAGAAATACGCCTTTTCGCGGGAAATATGGCCGGGAAATCAAGACCGCTTTTGTGACGTAATCTCTCATTTGTAAGTTCACATAAAGAAAAATAGAACTGTTTATAGCATAGTGTTTCAAATCTGGCGTGGCAAGTATAGTTTTATAGGAAAATTGCGCTATTCAAGTGTTGGGGAATCCCCCTGGACTGACGTAATATAATTCTATGAAAAAGAAACTGAGAATTGTATTTATGAGTCATGATAGATGGAAAGTGATGGAAGATAATATTCAAATAAAGAACACTGAGAGAAAAGTCACTGATGATTTGGAGTAAGCACCCTAGGCACAGTCATGGAACCTAACAGCCGTGAAACATAAACGTAAAACTTGGAAAATATTACGGTTACAGCACAGTCACGTCGAGATATAATTCAGTACCTTGATAACTGCGCTTTGTATGGTAAACTCATCAGACAATACAACACAATTTTCATGAAAAGCGTGAAAAAGATTTTTTAAGGAGATATTTTAGGGACTATAAGACGTGTGAAAACTATCAACTTATACCATCATGTTTTGCTGCACAAAATGGCGTCGCTACACATTGCCTATTCCCTTATCCTTGATTTACCAGTGATGGCAGAGAGGAGAGTGGGAATGAGTAATGCAGATAAGCTCCTTGTGAGATATACTGCAACTTATCCAGTCTATCGATTGTGAACCAGAGTATATCACGCACGGTAAGTCCACGATCCAAGTGTGTTTTCCTATATTTTGCTTATGAGTCATGAACTTACATGGTTATAGGAATATAGCCATATAGGAATTAGTACGTTTAATATTAATATTGACTTAGTACACTGCATGCTGTACTCTGATCAACTTTTGAATAAATTCAACGCATTTTGCCTAGGTCTAACGTCATTTGGCCCGGTCTTGATAACAATAGAATTTTGATGAATTTCAAACATAAATTGTGTTTGGACGTTATTAGTTCATCGATGATTAAGACGAGTGAGCATGAAACGGGTAAAAACAGCACGAAATCAGCCGAAGTGATTGTCAGAGAAAGATCTTTTTTGAACGTGATTTGTWCGTAYTTTATCRTYAGCTATTGTGGTTTGCCAGGAGAAACGATTTTATAAAAGATAACCAGATCGTGTATGGTAACGACAGTTTTGACCATTTTCCAGAAATCTACTAAAAGAAAGAAAAAAATGTTTAGAAGCTGCTCGAGTCGAGAATCGAACCCGAGATCGTCAGTTCAACGCCGCTATTCAAGTATGATCTTGCGTGTAGAATATGTAAAACAAATATCTAGAGCAAAAATAAGAATACGTATATTTCAGTAAAAAAAAGAAAAAAGGAAAGAAAAAAGAATCGCATAGAAGCGATCGAGTCGAGAATCGAACCCGCGACCCTAACTTCGACGCTATTCGAGTATGATAGTCTGTGTAAAAATCAAAATGATGGCTCGAAAATAATTGTACTTAAGCAAAATTCTACAGAAAATCAAGATGACTATAACAACTATATTATATTTGAAAAGAAAGAAGAAACGAAGAAAAAAAGTGCTTGAGACGTGACTCGAACCCGCGATCCTCTGTTCGGCGGTAATAAACGACATCCTCAATAAATAATTTTTGGAAACGACGGAGTGACAGTCTGTTGAAAACCTCCTTTATTTTCCCTCTGGTCGCAACTAATATACGATTGTACTAATAGACGTGACGATACTTGCACTTCAATGATATCTAGATCTGATGGGCTGTGGCTACATTACATATTGAGTAACTTAGAAAAAGACATAAGCTAGAAAAGAAGAATATAGAGTGATTTTCATTAACCCGTGAAACACACTTTAGCGTATTTATCGCTATTACACTTTGGCTCTTGTTTTTTATTGTCTCTACGCGACTATTACGATCTATTACACTCTAATTATTACACTTTGTTTCACGGGTTTATGAAAACCACTCTACTTTGCAATGGAGTCTTTACATGTAACCAGTTGCCATTAACCCATGGACTTCACTAACTCCATTTTATAAAATATATAAATAGTTCAGTAATCGTATGAGGAAGTGGCTGATCCCATTAAAGAGTGCTCAATACACATAAAGTGTAGAGCTAGTTATATATATGATATCAAAGAGGCAAGATTTTGCTGTAACTCCGAGTTTCGTGCTATGCACTCAGTATTTCTGATT